CATTTTCGATTGATTTTCGCCACTAATTTGCATTTTCATCATTTTTTCTTTCCTTATCTAATATATATATATAGTTTCAGTTACATATTTTTTGGCATATTAATATGGATAAATCTTTCAATTTGTCTCATTATTCTATCCGTTATTGTGAGTCACCCAATTTTTTGTATTTTTTATATCCATTTTTATCCAAGGTTCACTTGATTGCTTCATCTTTTATCAATTCTCGTCACTCGCAAGCGATCGCTTTAGTTATCAAACACGTTGACGGATCTCTGCATAGATGGATTATGAGTGTTCAGGAAGCCAGTTTGTAAGTTGAATTTACGTCGTGAACGTACTCTCACCCACTATTTATTCTAGACTTCCCCTTTTCGTTTCATCATTGTTTCCTTGGTTTTTATTTACTTCTTGTGTTACCTTCTTCCTCTTTAAGTGTGTTATCTTATCTTCTTACCCGAATTTGCACTATGATCTTCGTTGAAGAGATTACCTATGCTTGTGCAGATAGCTTCTTTATTTTAGGAATAAAAATAGTATGTGCCGCGGGTATAATTCTTTTGCAATCTTTTGATACTGCGAAATCTTTTTTAACGGATTTTGTAAGTCGTTGAACCACTAATAAGCATTAAGTAAGCACGATCTGTAACATGTATCTTTATGAACACTTGTTGATGGAGTATCTTTAATCTTAGATAAGAAGACAAAGATGATGTGGCCTATGTGGTCGCAGTCCCTTTTCATTATATAGAGGTTGTTTTTCCTTGTTTTCGCAACTTATTCATATTACTAGGAAGATCTGAAGGAATGCACCTTGTCCGGAGCCCATAGTATGCATGATAGTGAATGTACCACATCCACGGTCCGACTCTGGAAATTATCATGCATACTATGGACTCCGGACTAGGTGCTTTTTTCTAGGTCTTCCTACCAATATTACCAAGTTGCGAACACAAGGTCAACAACTTCTATCTTTGATCCTGTTTAAAGAGGCGAATGGAAGGGATTTAGAACTTGGCCTAATCTGAAGGAAAAAGGGGATCGTTTCGGAGATGTGGCTGCAGATTGTGAGAATAATTGCCCGACGATCTATTCCGCAAAATCTCAGCACGGATTCATCAAAGTCACGGGATGGGACACCGAGGATTTATTTGCACAAATCTACAGTCACGTCTCCAAGGCAATTCTTCTTCGGCTTATGATGAGGCCAATTTGAAAATCCCTTCCATTCGCTTCTTTAAACAAAATAAAAAGGTGCGCCTACATTAATCCACTAAGGGACTCTTAGAAGCCTAGTTTTCTTTAATATTTGTGTACACTTCATTTGCGGTCACAACTGCAAAGTCTATCTCCTTTTGCTTTACCTTGTTTTAAAGGTTGCTTGCCTGATGAACAGAGGCTAAGCTTGCCAATCCTATCAGGCAGAGGCGTATGATTGTTTTTCACTATCGTCTTATCGCCTTGCGATTCCTTTGTGAAGTCAGACAGGAGTCCAATTTATGGGATCAAACTTAGTGTAGCCGGCACTTTTCATTTTTTGCACTTGCTTGCAGCATGTACAAGGTAAATGCTCTTAGGCCGGTTACTAAAATGGACTAATTCGCCTCTTTCTACAAGAAAGCTTTGCTTTTTATTCGTAACCCATGCTAATTCATATACCATCTATATTATCGTTGATCATTTTTATTTTATTCGTCCATTTATGTTTTATTCTTCTTAAATCTCTCTACTGCTATCTGATCAAATTTCTTGCAGATGTATTTACTTTTATAATCATTTCTCTATTTATATTTCCTCCTTGCTTTGCTGATGCCTTTAGTTTTTATCTTCACTTTTACTCGATTTGCTTTAGCTATTTTGCTACTTTTACTTCAGGCTACTTTTAATGTCTGTCACTCCCATATAATTATCAGCTTCGAGTGGGTCTTCGGTATCATACAGGCGGGGCATCTTAGTGGCCATCGGTTTCACGCCGACAATGCTGTTTGCCACCCGACTCAATCGTTACTTCTGACAACTTCGCACCATCTACACAACCGAACTCACTCAATTCTGCCTGCCGACTCGATGTCATCGACAACCCTAGACCCAGAAGATGTGGATGAGGAGGCCGGAGAGCTGATACTTTGGCGTGTGGAACCTGTCGGCCCACTTTCTGTGGCCCGGACAGCTGTTCCTTGGCCTCCTTCAGCCTCGCGAGGCCATCAAGGTATCTCTTTTATACTTTTTCTCATACAAAATCTGTTTTAAATGTAATCAGAAAGCTGTGGGATCGCTCACGAATTTCCATTATTTTTGTCCTCTTGTATCATTACGAGTACGTGAGAGCTTCTTCGATATGTCCCTTCGGATGATGATTAG